GAAAGAAAGAAAGAAAGAAAGAAAGAAAGAAAGAAAGAAAGACCATATTAAAGCAAAAAGAAGCCATAGAAAAATATGGTTGTCTTCCCAAAGTAGAAGCCAGTCAAGTTCACCAATATGTGAGAAGTTGTTTCCAGATGACTGACAAGGAGGCTTCTCAAGATCTCTGTCAGGAAGGAAGTGTCTTTAAGAAAATGGCTTATGCAATTTGTTAACCTTTTTGGTCTTATTTCATTTCTGTAGCAATTGATATCTGGCTTTATTTTGTACAGAGCAAAGTGAGAAGTTTCCTTACCATGTGTGATAAATACTCAAATTCTAAGGCCAGGAAGGTGTTGCCCAAAGTGCCTGTTTAGTTTTAAAGATGGAACTAAGTCACTTGCTAGGTTTTAAGTATGTGGTAGGAAATGCCATGAAGGGACCTGGTAGTGGTGTTGGTGGTCAAGCCTGGAAATGGTGCGGAGACAAACATATGCATGTAAAATAAACTCAGTGTTTTTAAAAAAGTTTTGAAAAAGAACATCCAATTTCTCATAATAAAATATGGTGTAAACCTTTTAACAATAAAATAATAATATAAAGAATGAGAAGGAAAAAACATAGGTGTAGCTGATAGACTCTTACTTCACTGAAATTATCCTTTGAAAGGAATAGGAAAACTGCTTTGAGTTTAGCATCACTAAAGTAGATAATATATAGTATTCTTAAAGTTATTCACATGCAAGAGAAATCAAGATTTTGCTGTAGCAAAGGACATTGGACAGAAACTTTAGTATACTTGTCAGAAATTTCTTTCAAGTTAAACAATTGACAACTTACTTTTAACCAGTGATGCTTATAAATGTTTAAAAAGAATGTGTGACTGACAAAGAAGGTAATGCTGCTTCACTAATCAAAGTAAGAAAAATGCAGAAAAAAGGAAATTAATCACCCATCAACGTATCACACAGATACAAGCATTGTTAATTTTGGGGGCCTTTATTTTCAATGCTTTTTAGTTTTCTCACTCCTGAAGTTGTGTTTCTATCTGTTTGTACAATTCTCCGTCTTGTACAATTTTTTGTCTTGCTTCTTCATGACTGTTATGAGTGTGTTTAGGCCATGTCATTCTGTGTCAGAGCTTAATTATAAACGATCCAGGGTATTGGCCATAATTTACTTCACCATCGCCTTCATAGAAAAAATAGGTTTCCTTACTTCTGAGTTACAGGTGATGCTGGGCTGTCTTTATGCATGTAGATGCCTCACTGTCTGAGTTGTTTCCATAGTACACCTTCCTAGAAGTGCTGTTTCTAGATTAGTGGGTACCAATATTTTTAGGTTCTTGATGTATTAACACCCACACTGAAGGTATCTTTATGATCTCCAACTAGAATTTAACCCAGTGCCCTGGCCACCCCGTGACTGTTTGATGAATGGACAAAGGAGTGAAACGTGAGCTCACGCTTCCTATTTCTCCATCCGGGGATTCTGTGATTCAGATCATTGTACGGGGGAGGGAGCAGGGAAACCGTGCCACTGTCCATAGTGACACCATCCATGTGGTTAGGTAGGCCTCTACAGGCAGAGTTTCAGTTCTGTGAGAGAAATGGGAATGGAAAAGTCGATTCCAGATCAGTTCTTAGGAGAAGTGCCCAGCTAAGAATAGGCCTGAGCCAACCCATTCCCCACGTTCCTCTCAGAAGGGAAACCGTTTCCCCAAAAGCAGCCAGAGCAGGTCATGAGTTGAGAGCTGAGACCCATAGCTCAGAGATGCTATTCTTGGATATCCTGAGCCCCTGTGGTTACCAAACACTCTGAGTTGTGCAACTCTCAGATGATAGCATTACCATGCTTAAAATTTTCCCTTGTCACCCCCAGATTCCATTTCCCCTTTGCCTGGGGCTGCCTATAAAGAGGAGAGAAGATGGCTTCAGACACCAGCAGCGCACAGGCAGGAGCGAGTACCCAGGCCTTTCTCTGCTCTGCTCACCCTTGAGCCCGTAATCCACTGACAGTCTGCAGCATGAAGATCTCCATGTCGGCCCTCGCTGTGCTCCTCTGCACCATCGCTCTCTGCTTCGAGGTTTTCTCGGCACCAGGTGAGTTTGTGTGGTTTTTGCAGGTGTCCCCACTCCCTGGCCTGGGGAGACCACATCAGTCTTTTCTGGTGGCCTCAGAATGTCCAAGGGAAAAAAGAATATCTGAAGGACTACCTAACATCACCATCTGACTCTTTCCTCCCTGTCCTAGTCTCCATCTCTGTGAGTCAGGGTGCCAGTGGTAGAGGGCATTTACAGTCCCTCTTACAGATGGAAAAGCAAGGCCCTAAACAAATGAATCTGCAGGGGGCAGAATCAAACACTGTTTACTTCCTAGTGGGGTCACCCTCTCGCTAGCTGGGGTTCTGTCCCTTGCTTGTCTCCAGAGAGATGACTCAGACTTCTTTTGTACTGGGGCATGACTTCTAAAACCAGCTAAAATCCCCAGAAGAGAGAAGAGGCAAGAGAACAATCTGTCTAATCATACAGAGGGAGACAGAACCTACAGGGAAGAGTTAAACTAGAGGTAGTTTTTGCCATTTCTGGGCAAAAATGCCCCAATGCCTGCCAGTGACCTGGTCTTTCAACCTCCACCTGGAGCCAGGTCACCTTCCTCATCCCGTGAAGGAGCAGCTTTTGTCTGGCCCTTCATCCTGTTGACATGGCTCACTCTGTCCCTTCCTCTACAGTTGGTGCGGACACGCCGACAGCCTGCTGCTTCACCTATGTCGCCAAGAAGATTCCTCGCCCATACGTCGCTGACTATTTCGAGACCAACAGCCAGTGCTCCCAGCCAGGTGTCATGTAAGTGCCAGTCCTCCTGCCCACTGCTGGCGACAGCCCGTTAGGGCACAGACAGGCTCCAGATGCCATCCTAGAGCAGTCTCCATGCACCGTGTCAAAAACATAGGCCCTCGGTGTCCAAGGAGTGACCTGACTCGGTGGCAGGTGATAGTACAGAAGGAGGAGGGCCGCCCCAGCCTCGAGGGAGGGGACGGGAGGAAGGGGACAGGACACTCTGCAGGGCCCCTTGAGAGTGGCTGTCCAGACGGAGCATCCACAGACTATTTGGGACACGGGCTGGGATGACAGGGCCATCGTGGGCCCAGGAGCCCCCTGCAGGAGCCCTCAGTGTTTGATCCTTTCTCTCTCTCCCACAGCTTCATAACCAAGAAAGGCCGGCAGATCTGTGCTGACCCTAGCGAGGCCTGGGTCCAGGAATATATCAATGATCTGGAGCTGAATGCCTGAGTGACCCGGAAGCAGTCGGGAATCCACGGAGCCATGTGGACCCCGTGGGGAGCAAGGGCCGATACCTTGGAAACATCCCTGTAACTCCAGCTACCTCTCCTATGGAATTTTTAATTTAAATCTTATTTATGGTATTTAATTTTTATATTTAATTATTATTTTTATACTGCGTTAGTGACCATTTCTGTGAAAGATCTCAGAACACTTCTTCACCACCCTTCTCCTCCCCCTTTCTCACCCTGTGTTTGGTGACAGTTGAGTGGCTGTCATCAGTCAGTTTTGGGCAGCACGATACCAAAGGCGTCAAACCAACTAATATGTAGTGGATGCTTTTATTCTGTGCTGTATCCAGACTGGTGAAATAATAAAGGTGGTTTTTAAAGAAGCAAACTGGCTTTGGGTCTGAGTTTGTTTTGTGGCCCATCAGAGTCCTGGAATTTGGAGGAGAACAAAAGAGGAGACCCAGTTACTCCACTTTGCCCTGGAGTCACAGTTCTAGCCCATTTGATGGAGGAATATTACAAGTCACCTCATAATATACCTGTGCAGGGAGAACTCACCACTTTCGTGGATGAACTCACCACTGAAGCAGAACACCCTGCACTCCAGCTCCTTTCCCAGGCTACTCAAGGCTGTGTGCTCTTACATGCGTCCTCTCAAGGTCCAGAAGCCAGGAGCAAAATGTAAAGTTTCATGGTCCCCAGAGTTCCCTAAATACAAATGTTTCATGGGGAAAACACAGTAACTAAAATGGAGATCACATGGGGGCAGAGGAGGAGGGGAATTGCATTGTCCACAGCTCCCCAGGCATTTCAGGGCTGAGACCTGCTTGGGATCAGCCTCACAGGAGTTCCCAGCTCTCCTCCCTGGGAAAGTGTCTTGTGTGGAGACATCTGAGAGGCCACAGGGGAGGAGCTGTTTGTGGATGGGGGAGGAGCTGCCTACTTCCTGTTGTTGGGAGCTAGGAGTTTGGGGTTTTCTTTAGCTGTTGAGCAATCAATAGTTGTTTGGGGGCCAGTCTTGTGGCTTCTTTGGCAATGTCACTCCCTTCTAAAGATAGCACGCTTCTGATCTATTCACTTCTGATCATTCTAGGGACTGGAGAGCCAACAGCAGAGAGGTTGTCCAGCTGGGTACTGTATTTGCATTTTGACTGGGGTTGGGAACAGGCACATTGCAGCACAGGCCTCTTGGTGCGACCCTGTGGTGTTGCAGGGCCACTTGTGGAGTGAGAACTATCTGACTCTAGGCCCAAAGCCACATCCTCCTTGCACCTTCATAAACAGCTGAATGACAGGTCTCTAATGTCTGCTACTTGTGAGGCTGAGGCAGGAAGATTGCAAATTCAAGCCCACCCTGGTCAACTTAGTAAGACCTTGTCACAAATTTTTAGAAGGCTGGGGATGTAGCTTAGTGTAAGGTGAGTCCCTGGTTTTAATCCTCAGTTGTGAAGGTTGAGGCACTAACTGGCTACTTTAGGCAGAGAAAGATAACTGTTTCATAGGAAAGGGTAAAGAAAGAGACTCAGGGCTGCAGTTGGACTGCAGGGGCTCCTGTGTCGCATATCCCAGTCTTTACTCAGAGTAAATTTATCTTAGAGTAGAAATTTCTGCAGTTACATTTCTACATCATTGCAGTTTACCAGGTTGTCAGTTAACAATTTGGAAAGGCCTTTCTCAGCAAAGTAGAAATGTTTTTCATTTATTGATTTCAGATGAGCCCATTTCAAGGTAACCTAACCCCTTTATCAAAAGACCTTACTGGTGCATGCAAGAGGGACCTGCAAATTCCTTAGTGCCATTGTCTCATTCTTTGGGATAGGAACATAGCACTAAAGTACAACAGGCCACACTTCAAGCAGCGCTGCGATACTTATGTTTCTGTAATGGTAGTTGCCAGAGAGCAGTGTGAGCAGCAATTACCAACACCCCAAAAATACAAGTCCTAAGGCTGCCTGCTAATTTGTGGGAGGGGAAGCCGTACACTCTGTGTTGACCAAGCAGTCAGGAAATTCAGATGCACACAAAGTTTAAAAATCATGTCTATTTAGCAACCCCATTGAATGTGCACCTAAGCTCCAATGTGTAAAACAGTTTCTGAAGTTTCTCTCAGCTCCTACTTGTCCTGTCACTTAGAGATTAACTGCAGACAGATGTTAGTTGGTGAAAGTGCATAAAACCCTCCCCTCCCGAGTGCTGTGTAGTTCCAAGTTATGGGAAAAGGTCCCACCTACAAGGACATTCTCCAGAAACACTGCATGCTGGACAAAACAAAAATGAAGCACAGGTCACTTTAGTCAAT